TTCGAGGTTAGTTCTTTAAATTGTTCTTCAGGGAAAGTATCAGGGTGTTTGAATTTTCGAGTTCGGCCACCGATTCTCGAGATTTTCAGTCTCATTGACTTTTAATTATTGAAAGAAATTCGAGAAATTATACTTTTAAAAATAGTCAAGCTAATTACACAAAAACATCATTCAGAATTCAGATTAAAATGTGTGTAGGTATATCGAGCTTTTCTTTGTAATTTTACATTCGTGTAAAATACACACTTGGAAAAAAAAAAATCAGTGCTAGGGCAGAAAACTATGAAGGGGAATTATTCCAAAACGTCGTGGATTTGGGAATTCCGTGAGTTTTTCCGGCTCAAGTGAGTCAATTGCTGCATGGGAAGAATTCCCTGAATAAGTCTCTTTAAAAGAAATAGCATGTCAATTTCAGCTAACAGACTCTTGTTGTCAAGGAACTGACTGGGATGTCTATTTTCCAACACACTAGCAAACTGCAATTATCCACTGAAAGAAAAACAAAACTTACTCGTGGGTAGCAAACGTTGGGAATAAATGTTTCCTTGTTTGTCAAGCTGTCCAATGTTTACCTATGCGTTATGTTCAATCGGCATTCACTAATTTTAAATCAACTTCTCTTCAACTAAGAAGTAAGCAAAACAGTCGTTGTCGTGAAAAACTTTTTAGATGCGTCCTTGCACTAAATCGACGAATTAGAGGGTTCTAAGTGCATTTCCACATATTCTTCAAAAAATACGTTATGATATTCTATGTCATTATAAAAATAAATATAACAGTGATGAAAACGTATAGTTTCGATTTGAAGTCACTCGGAACAGAATTACTCAGCTGCCTAAAGGATCGCTGTGTTAATTGGACACAGCTGTGCTTGAACAACTCTCACAACTGAAGATAACTCTTACTGTTGTGCGAACACTGCTTAAACTATGGAGGAGATAAGAGTTTTCCTCCCCATTGTCGTTTTTATTCTGGTAAATGTTCAATTCATCTCAGGGCAAGACTGGCTAGATGTCTCAAAAGAGGAGCTCCTGGCGCTGAGAAATGAAGTGCTTTCTTTCGATAATTCCGTCTCTGATCTTGTGTTTTTAGTGGACACCTCTGGCAGTTTATCGTCTAGCGACTACGATGAAGAAATAACATTCGTCACCAACTTGCTAAATGAGATCAGCGTGGACATGCAAGCAACCCGTGTCGAGGTGATACCGTTTGGAAGCACGGCGAGCCAATTCATCACTCAAATTTCCAACCCCGATACTTCCAAGAACAAGTGTACATTTAACGAACAATTCAAGACGATGTCCCAAAGTATCAACGGTTGGGCCACGAACATGAGGGACGCTTTTCAATTGGCCTGGGAGGTTTGCCTGAATAACGGATTGAAAAGAACGCCGCTGACTACGATTAAAACTGTCGTTATCCTTCTCACTGATGGCAAATGGAACACACCTTACGGCGACTCGAGCCCCGTTTCACGAGCACAAAACCTCATAGCGGGTCATGTGGAGATTTTTGCCATAGGTGTTGGTAACATTGACTACGCAAATCTTGAATCTCTTGTTGATGATCCAGACAAGCACGCATTTCTTTTGCAAGACTTCGACGAGTTTGCTGAGCTTGCAACCTATCTCAGAGGAGGTATGTGACTAAATTTTCCTTTAATGAACTTTTTCCGTTTTTTAATTACAAAGAAAACTGATAATCGAAACTGTTTTTCCTTTGCAAGAGCACCCAATGGAATCAGAAACCGTTTCTAGTTTCATTATGTATTACTTGATATTTCTGAAGAGTTCAGTCGCTTTTCTTTTCTCTTCAGTCTCGGTTTCCTGTTTTAGTCGTTAAAGTACAAAAAGAACATTTCTTCACGGGACAATT